GAAATATTCATGTCAGCTATCTTCCTATATCATTATCAACTTAAGGAATAATGAAACCAAATAAATCAAATACAAGAATGGATGTTTTGAATACGTATGTTTTATACAGTCGTTGATCGAGACAAATGACTGAAGAAACGAAGTAAAGAGACAAGAGTTAAGCAAAATGACGTACAGTAGAGAAGGTGTGTCAGCCAACTCGATTCTAGGAAGAGTGAATCGATATTTATAGTCAGACAAAGATTAGTTACCGACGTGCAATGAGTAAGATTGGAAATGCACACACACACACATACGCTTACATAAAAACTGTCTGATTTAATGAGTGAATAAATAACAAGGACAAAACGTGACTCAAGAAGAACGAATAAATTGGTCTGTCCAGAAGCTAGAACAAGTTATATGGGCTTAACATAGCAACCGACACTAAATACCCACGGCCCGGATAGCCCAGTGGCAACGTCTCTGACTGTGAAGCTGGGTGATACGAAGTTGAATTCGTCAGAGATCACCAGTTCTCTCAAGATTACAGGTACACCTTGCTGACGAGTGCCAAGCAGCACGAAATCCGGGTCCAGGGTTTCCTATTGACTACCTCCAACCACCATCTAATCTCAATATAGTGCTCGCAGTGTTGAGTCACCTAGACTGGTGGCCACATTGCAACTTGGTTGATAGTATTCGATCTGCACTAAGAAGGACTTGACACATATGACATCATTCACCAACCAATGATCAATCATTTGTGATTACACTACATAATCCTCCAGATCTCATTGACAGAATTCATAGATCAAATGAATTATTTACTCTGATTCTATACAGTTCACAAAATATAACTTTATCAAAGATAATTTATCATATTCAAAGATCACATATACCCTATCATATTCACTATAAAATGTTTTTCAATGAACTAATTCCTCGATTTAATTCTTCCGTTTTTTTTTGGTTTTCATGTAAAGTAAGTTTCCAAGTTATTTTGTCTGGGATTTTTGAAAAACTATTTAAAAAAAAAAGAAAATAAAAGCTGTTACATTGTTTCTATGTCAGTGTTAGTTAGCTACAATATAGGACCAGGCACAACTATGCACCGGTTCAAGTTGCCATGGAGAATATCATCTCAGCATGTGTTGACAATCAATCCTGATTGTTGTTGTGTGTGTTTTTTTCTTTGTCTAAAGAAAAGCCAAGCTGTGAGGCTGTAATTTTGAAAAAAAATTAAAAACATAAACGAATTCTGATTTGTTTTTATTATTTCGCCTGTAATAATGATTTACAAATTACAATTTAGGAAATTAATTGTTACATAATCTTGTGTTTTTAATAAAAATGTTTTTAAGTAGTTTATTCAGTAGTAGGATGGAAAATATGGGAAGTTTAATTTGATATAAACTGTATATGTGTATTCATTTGATATTGTTTCCTTGCATCATCATCATCATCATCCCATTGATGTTTAAGAATGTAATCGATCAGTCTGTTATTGTCAAATGTACATCTTGTGCGTATTGCCTCGATATTGCCGTAATTCACAACGTTTTTAAGAAAAGATGAATAGTGGCTAGCAGTGGAATCCAGTTTGATGCGCATTTCGTTCTATTTGGGACTTGTTATCAGGATTTATCTGCATCTCAGAGTTGATATTCACTGCGTGACTCGAATCCATCGCGTTAAAAGGGGTCGTTTTGAAAATTGAAGAAATCATAATAAGAGATTACTTCTTTGATTTGATATTACTGAATGATAAATCAATCGATTGTAGAAATTAAAACTACCCAAACTGTAAACATTTAACATTGAATTCCTAATCATTTCTTCGATCTTCAAGTCTTCCGTATGCTAGAACTCCACATGGTAGACAAAAGGCACGATTTATAAATGTTCAAGGAACTAGAGTATTTATAAGGTTATTGGTAGCTTCCATCTTCTGAATTCAAATTCAATTTGAGAAATTCTCATATTGTAATTTAGAACAAAATAAATATAAGTGGACCTTATTGTTTTCGATTAGATCTTCATCAGACTATACTCTGATATACAGTAATGTATTTATATATGCATATACGAAATGAATTAAACCAATGAAGGCAGTTTATGATTCAATCATGATAACAATGGAATAGGTTACATAAATAAGTTAAAAGTACCAATTGATAGTGTGATGACAACTGCACGAGTTGTGATTAGAATAATAAAGGCTTGAATCCATGTTACATAATGGGAAATAGGTCATTGATTAGAAGAATATAGACAGTGAGATAACATTCATTATAAGATGGTAAGATTACGTAATCAGAGGGAAGTGTTCACATACCTGAACCATGAAGCGTATATTTGAGGAAAGAAAAGAGTGGGAGGTGGTGAAGAAAGAGTATGGAAAATAATAATAAATAAAACTATTTATTAAGGTCAAGGGAGAGATAAAGGTGTTACAACTTTCTTATGAACACAAAGACTTGGATTGTTGGCCCGAGCTCCTATAGCTTCTGCCGAGTGTTAGAGACGAGATCGAACACCATAAAGAAAACTAGTAGGAATACAATAAATGACATTAAATGACTTATTTCTGTCTACTACATAACGGCTATCGATCAAGCATGATAAGACCGAGCTGCGTATTGTCTTGACACTACCTATTCCTAACCACGAAGGGAGGTGTATACTAACTCTTTGGTTCAGTTGTCTGATAGTGCACCCAATATAGCTTACACCTGTCATCACACTACCAATTTGTACTTTTCACTTAATTATGTAATCTATTCCATTGTTATCATCATTGACTCATAAACTGCCTTCATTGGTTCAGTTCATTTCGTATGTGCATATATAAATACATTACTGTATATTAGAGTATAGTCTGATGAAGATTTAATATTTTTAGACAAAACCAATAACCGATTATAGACCTAAAGCTTTATGTCCAAAATAAACCTGTTCAATATTGGCAATCCATTTTGAGTAGATGAAGGCATAGATATTTTACCTTTATGTATATTCACAGTTCAAATCAATGTCATTCATATATTTTAATAAGATTAGGAAATCGATTTATTATCCATCTATTGTTAATCATTGAATTCATGAGTTGATTCAAGCTAGATCACTATTGAAAACTTGAAATCAATGAACGGTTATTTCGTCCTAGTATAAAAGTTCTCAACAGTATACATCCACGATCCCGTACTCAGGATCCCATTTATTCTATAGATTACGTAATCATGTATAAAACATTTATTTCAATTCATGATTACATTATAGTCTCTTTTAAATCACATTGATAACCATGAATAATTTTTCTCGTTATCGTTTTTTTAGCGAGTTAGTTTTCTACGGGATGGGGTCGCTAACCCTATGCCCCAACCCTCCTTCTTTATCCGGGCTTGGGATCGGCATTAGCCACCGGAGGGACTCCACGCAGAGTTCACATTGATAACCATATTAATGAGTATCAATTTTTACTAAACCAATGAATAGATAAGCATATTAGTTATTTCATTATTTAAAAACTTTATTTTCTAAGATGGTGGATAATATTGGTAGCTCAAGTGGATGATTTTGATAGAATTTTGTTCTTTGAACTGGATGGTTTAGTCGTGGAGTTTACATCCTCCTTCTGAACGACATCATCAACACAAACTTCATGTAGACCTCAATCTTGATTGATTACTGTTGATCTTTAACATGTCATTGTTCACTTTATTTTGATTGTATCTTTCAATCAGAAAAATTATGGTCAAATATAAGACCAAGAAACAAATCAATAATGGGAGATACAATCAAATAAAAGAAGTATACTATGACAGGTTAAATGTCAACAGTAATCAATTAAGATCGAAGTCTACAGGACAAGTTTGAAGTTACATATCGATAAGTTCTAACACTTCAATTCTACCTGAAGTTTATGCTGATGATGTCGTTCAGAAGAACGATGAAAGCTCCACGACTAAATTATCCAGTTCACAGAACAAAACTCCATCAAAATCTTCATTTTCTATTGTAAATCATAAAGATGAATTCATTGAAGTTACATCATTATTAACACGGTTTGATTATTTTAAACTAATCTATGTTCTATAAACAAAGATACATGACGGCTAACAGTAGGATATCAGGACAGACATTTCATTCTAATTAAGAAGGCACAAGTAAATAATACCATTAGGAATTTGATCCATATTCTGTTATCATTTCTTGAAATGATAACCTTGATTGTTTTTATATGAACGTATGTATGTGCATTGCATATCCTACTCATGACATGTCTGTAACTTATTTTTATTCCTCTATAAATATCGATTCACGCTTAGTTAAATCGAGTTTGTACACACTCCTTCTCCAGTGCAGTGTACATCATTTCACTTCATCCTCTTCTCTTCACTATGTTTCTCCATTCGTTTATATAGATCAACAATTATACAAGATTACTGTGGGAAAGAACAAACCAAATCCCAGTGGAGGAAGAAATCAGGAATTAGTTCTGGAAGTGGATAGGACACAAAAATTAAGGAAAGCACCCAACTACATCACAAGACAAGCCCCCGCATGGAATCCTCATGGCCAATCAGGGTGAACAGGAAGACCAAAGAACACATTATGCCGAGAAATGGAGATAGACATGAGAAAAATGAACAAGAATTGGATGGAACTAGAAAAGAAGGCCCAGGACAGAGTGGGTTGGAGTTTGCTGGTTTGTGGCCTATGCTCTATTAGGAGTAACAGGCGTAAGTAAAGTAAGTAAGTAAGTAAGTAAAGTAAAGTAATTATACAAGATATAAATATTCAAAATATTCATTCTCATATTCGACTTATTTTAATTCCATTATACACGAATACTAGTCCAATCAAAGATTGGCGATATGTTGTCTATTTTCACAGTGATCATTCATATGATCCATTTCAAGTCAGATCTATGATCACTAAAAGTTTATTTACATCAAAACAAAACAAAAACAAAAAGCAGATAATACATAGTACAGTGATTACGTAATTTGACTTACCTTTTTATACCATAAGTGAAATCAACAAATAAATGATAATAGATTATAATGGATAATAATAATAAGATGATATTTTGATTCATTGAACAATATTGTCACTATCTTCTATGTATATAGAGATATAGATATAGATAATGCAGTCACGTCAGTAATTATCTTCTAAGTGATTATGTAATGTGGTCAAATTAAAATTTTTTAAAAAAGAACAATTTAGTGAGTTTCTACAATAAACTGCATGTTTCTCTTTTTTTTTGAGGAGGGGGGGCAGTTAGCAACAAGTTTAAGCAATGTAATGAAGAAGAAGTGTTCTATGAATAGAAGACTATTTATAATAAAATTAATTGTTAGTTTGTTTACAAAAGTACACAATACATATGTATGTATGCACGCACACACACACACGTACGTACGTACGTACATATGTACGCATGCGTGCACGCACATACGCACATGTACACATGTTTTTGTATCTACATAACAATTTACGATTGTTACTGTTGAAAGGTGAAAAATGAAAAAAAAAAACTTAGATTGTGGGCGATTGGAAAAAAACAAAAAAAACCGTGATATGATTGGTTAGTTATTTGGTTAAATTATTATGTTTATTACATAACAGGTTAATAATAGTAGAATTACATTTGGATAATATAAATGTTACATTCTATTATTCAATGTATATGAATGTTATAAGAAAGATTGAGGTTATTTATAGTTCATTACTTATTTACTTACTTACTCCTGTTACTGATAATGGAGCATAGGCCATAGATCAGCATTCTACAACCCACTCTGTCCTCGGCATTCCTTTCCAGTTCTATCCAATTTTTGTTCATTCTTCTCATGTCTGTCTCCATTTCTCGGCATAATGTGTTCTTTGGTATTCCCCATCACCTTCATTGGCCTTGAGGATTCCATGTGAGGGATTGTCTTGTGACGCAGTTTGGTGATTTCCTCAATGTGTGTGTCCTATCCACTTCCAGCACTTCTTCTTGACTTCTTCCTCCACTGGGATCTGGTTAGTTCTCTTCTATAGTAGATTGTTGCTGATAGTATCTGGTCAACGAATCCGAATTATATTTTGTAGACAACTGTTAATAAACATCTGTATCTTCTGGATGATGGTTGTGGTAGTTCTCCAAGTTTCCATCCCATACAGTATCACTGTTTTGACATATGTATTGAAAATTCTGACTATGGTGTCAATTGACAGATAGTTGTTTTGAGTTCCAGATATTCTTCAATTATAAATGTGTTGCTCTCACTTTTCCGATTCACGCCTTCACATCGGGATCAGATATTTATAGTTGATTATCAGACTATAAAATGATTAAGAACGATCGTTGAATCCGATAAATTCCATGTAATGGATACTTGTTAACAAGTATATCTATAATCTTCGAAGTCCATCTTCATGCTGAAGTGTAAATCGCATTGGGAATAACTTTCAGTAGGATTGAAATATATGTATATATATTGTCTAGATCTGTGGGAAATGCTAGTTCATGAATATGATTGTTGATTCCTTAATTGTACATGTTAAGCTGTTTCACTAATGGGGTCATTTGGTTGACAGAATTAAGACGTTTATAGAATCGATTCATATAGCATGTATCTACTTAAGCCGATCGTATCACAAACAATAAGTTGAATTGCGTATTAAAATAGGTGTATATTTCATAAGATTCATTTCTCTCATATTCAACTAGTATTTATTCATTCAAATAATGTCCATTACAACAGAGGATCAAAAATAGTATGTGTTGTACGAGCTAAAATTTATGCATGGATTGAGATACCATCCTGTGACTCAAATTAACTCAGATTGTTTTCTCAGGGTGGTAATAAATAAACCTTAGACCTAAAGATTAAGTTCATAAAGGTGCTGCTTCATGGTAACCAGCGGCCAAAATTAAATTCATAGGAAATTTGTGCCCTCAGGATCCTGGAGCTCATATGAACTTCCGGTTTGAAATTCGGCTCTTTCACTCGGTTCAGCAACTTTCCTGGCACTGATATTAGTGTGATGCCTCTGTAGTCTTCACAATTTCTCAGATCTCCTTTATTTGGTATGTTGATGAAGTGTACTTGTTTCCAGCATGTGTGTGGCACTTGTTAGTTCTAAATAGGAGGTGAAGCATGTTTGCACTTACTTCTATGTCTGACTTCAGTATTTCAGCTTAGATGTTTTCAGGTCCTAATGCTTTATCTTCATTTGTCTTTAATCGTTGTTGAAGTGACATCCATGGGAAGGTCTGTAGGTGCCGCTTCAATATCCGGTGGATTCAATGGGGCTGGTCTGTTTAAGAGTTCGTCGAAGTGTTCCACCAATCTGTTCCTCTGTTCTTGAATCTCCGTGATTGGTTTGCCTCCTTTGTCTTTGATTGATCTCTCTTGTTTACTGTATGGTTGTCTCACATTTCCTTCTCTTGTAGCTTTTTTTACTGTCGTTGTTAGGTCTTCCACGTATTTCCGTTTGTTGGCTCTAATGCTCTTCTTCACTTGCTTGTTTGCTTTTGTGTACTCATCTAGTGCCTTGACTTTCTCTACTCTTGTTCGACCGTTGTTAATTACTGTCTTCTTGATCTTTCTTTCTTGAATCTCACCGAGGTTTTTGATAGAGGTCCATTCATTATGATGATGCTTGTTCCGACGCAGCACCTCGTTACACGTTGAGGTTGGTGCTTCTTTAATCCATTTCCAGTTGTCCTCTGTAGTAGTTTCTTATTCTTCATCAGATTACATCCCATAAGTGCTTTGTGCGCTTCTTTCAACAGCATCTGTGCAACTCCTTTTGTTCAAAACGCGTCTACTTAACAACAGGAGAACATTTAGGGTTTATTTTCGATAAAAATCATAAGGTTTCATAAAATAATTGTTCTGGCAACCATAATTAGATGAATCCCAATGGTGAATAAATTTCAGAAAACAATACGGAAATTTGAATATAGTTTTATCTCGCCATATCAGCAGCTATTTGACTGATCATTCAGGTCGCTCAAAGTGTCCGAACATTCCTTGTATTTATGTTAGTTATTGCATTGGTTATTAGAAGAGGCATCGGCCTTGTGATTCCCGAAGAATCTCGGCTTTCATCCTGAGGAGTCATAACTTTGTGTCACTTGCTTTTATTCAACAAAATCGCCTAGTAGCAACATATGAGATTAAATTCAAACTTCTAGTCTTAAGAAGTCCGCTAGATAATTATGTCATATATCGGTCATTTCATAATTTTCGTAAATTCCTATTTCTTAGAAAAACCAGCTGCCGATAAATGATTAGTCAATCACTTATGAACAATCTCGGATTGTTTTTATTTTTCAAATTTTGTTTACATATTGCAGTTAAGATAAATAGGTGAGGCCTCGGTAACTGTTTGGAACTCGTCAGCTGGACGTACCTGATAAATGTTCAGTTCAGGACTGAAAACACCATCATGTTATCCACTTAGCTACTGGGTACAGAAAGCCAGTAGCTTGTGCAATGGTATGAAGTTTAATTAAAATAAAACAAAACGTGCATCCTAGAACCCATTGCTAGCCACTATCCATCTCTGCTTATAATGTTTGTGACTTGAGGCAATAAAAGCCAATAAAAGACTTGTCAATTACAGCTATAAACGTCAACTGGAAGATTCAAATGAAGGAAATGTTTACATAGCTTGATGTTTTCAAAAGTACAACCCATTCAGCGATAAAAGTACACTGTACACATAGTTAATGAATGTAAGAATGACAAAACCTTGATTCTTGAAGAACGCTGACACTCGTATTCAGAGGACATTGTTTGATATTTTCATCATCTGAGAAGACCAATTTGTAATATGCTTATAAATAGTATTGAAAAGCTTTGAATCACTTCTTTGTTTCGATTTGGATGATTAATTTCAGCCTTCTCTGTTGGTGTTTATCATTTTTCAAGGAAATTGATTATTACTAACATACTTAAAGAATTACTGGTATTATCATTCAAGACCGATTAGTGAGTATAATGAACAACATTCAGTACAAAATAAACCAATATGTGATAGTATTGATGTTCATTCATAGTGTGGTGCTTGTTACTTATATTGACATAAGTAGTATATGACACGAGTCAGGAATGTAATGTCTGGCAGCAGAAGATGGGGAAGATCAATAAAGTAGGAGCGGGAATAGAAAGCAATTAGTATGGAAATGCAAGAAGAACGAAGTTCGAGACAATGATTGAACATTTTGCAAATTCAGTAGTGTGGTTTGTCTATTTTATCAAGTAACTCTGTAATTTTGTGCTAAATATAATTCGATTGTCCCCACCCGTATTCTGTTCACTACAATGACACTGCAGTGGATATTCAGAGTATTCTGGTTAACAATTGTAATTTCACTGATGAAGCTATAAATCTTTATCGACTAAAAGGATTAGAATATGTGTTACACATACATAAACAAAGCTTACCTTGATACTCAAATCTGATTGGCTAGATAAACATTAAAACTGAATTATGTCACTGGTTTGTGATAAAGATACAGACTTATTGATCAAGATCTATGGGATGATCATAATCTGTGGTCGGAGATATTAAGTTACATTGTGTAAAATCAGTTGCACGAATATAGTTGGAATCATTCTCTATCGTCCCCTAAACATTGATCTAAATTTCATGAATATTTTTCAATCATATTTGTTCTGGATGGATATTTATCTTGAATCTTGGATAGTTCAACTCTATAAATATAACCTGATACTTATTTATCCCTGTTATAATGGTCAGATTTCTTTGTCTACACAAATGCGACGTTAATTTGCCTTAGACGAACATTTACATTAGATTCCCTCCCGGTGTTTACTCTATAGAACTTCAACACAACTTAGATTAAGAACACTTGATTAACCTGACTACAATGTAAATATATTTCCACACCGAAAACCGACAACAATCCGTCAATAATCACAGTAATAATAAAGGTGAAAGAATATATAACTCACCGAACGCCTGTCAGACTATCTATAAGTTTAACTAAAACAAACAATCAATCATTATCTATCTCATCCACACATCAATCCCAGGTTCTACAATGTTGTAGATTAAATCAATGAAAGTCAGAAAATTGCAGATAAATGTTCTGTATTTTGTGAACTAAGAGAGTTCTGGGTTCGAATCCCGCAAGCGAAATTGTGAATGCACACTGCTGAAGAGTCCCATAGCAGGACGAAACGGTTGTCCAGTGCTTCCAGGATTTCAATCATGGTCTAGCTTGAATCGACTTATGAATTCAATTATTAAAACCTTTCAGTATATAAAAATGACAACATCAAAAAGCAATTCAACAGTCATTCACTAG